GGTGGCCCGGGAGGGTCTCAATTAGTACCAACTGGGAGGATTTTGAGGGAGCGAGCCAGGTGAAAGAACATTCCAGGCCAGAGGGAATCTATGTTATTAATCTATAGCTTCTTAGCCATCTATGTGCACACTCAAGAATTCTTAGGATGTAGGAACATCTGACCCATACATGGCTTTCCCATGTCACACCATTTTTAAAAACTTTATGTATGCATTCTTGTATTCTGCAAGAGAGAGAGAGAGTGAATGTGAGCGGGAGAGGGGCAGAGGGAGAGAGAGAAACTTAAGCAGGCTCCACACCCAACATGGAGCTGGACACAGGGCTCAATCTCATGACTGTGAGATCATGACCTGAGCTGAAATCAAGAGTCACCCACTAAGCCACCCAGGTGCCCCTTAAATTTATTATTATTATTATTATTATTATTGTCATTATTATTATCTTTACACCCAATGTGGGGCTCGAACTCACGACCCTGAGATCAAGAATCGCACACGCCTCTGACTGAGCTGGCCAGGCCCCTCTCCAACATAATACCATTTTCAAGGACAATAAAACGTCACATTTTGTAGAAATGTCAGCAAACGGCAATTTTGCCTTTGCAGATTCTTACATTTTGGAGCCCATACGCTTTGTTATTCTTGTGGCCAAATTTAGGTCTCTGACATTTTGGGGCTCCCTTGATATTGTGCAGGCCTCAGGCTCTGTGTGTCTGGAGTCTGGTGGAGAAAACCTGCTCTGGGTGGGAGGGAAGAAGGCGGTCTGCTTCTCACTGCCTCCACCCCTAAGGTCTCCTGCGCCTGGCTGTGTGCCGGGAAGTAGCACCAGGATTCTCGTTTCCTGAGTCAGCAAGGCTGAGGGCCAGAACTGGGCAGGAAGTTCCCAGACCTGCCCCAGGTGGCTTTAGGGGTGGGGAGCTGGGCAGGGAGCTGGCTCCAGGTGCTGCATACCTGAAACGCCAGGTGTGCCTCCTGGATGCCTGTGTACTTCCTGTTTGTCAGCTGGGCCAGGCCAGCCTCTGTCTCGACTCCCCTAGCCTCAGCTCCCTCTATCTTGTGCCCTCTTTAGTGGGCATGCAGGTGGGTCACCGACAAGGCTCTGGCTAGTTTGGTGGAGGGGAGCTGGGATGAGGGAGGAGCTCAGGGTGGGCACAGGTCAGACTCAGGGCAACTAAGTCATCCTCCTGCCCTTCATCCTTTGGAATAATTTCTGGATATTTGGGCAGGGGAGAGAAGGGAGCAGAATCAGGAAGAGGGTGGGGTAGGGTCAACCATGGGGAAGGGAAGAGGGTTATTCATGCCCTACAGACCATGCCAGTGTGCACACATATGCAGGGGGGCAGCCCCCTACACACAGACACATGGACACAGAAAGACATGGGCAGTCAAACTTGACATGGAGCAAACGCTGATTGGCTGAGCACTTACTGTGTTCAGGACCTGTTCTAGACCCGGGAGATACAGTGATGAATGTGACTAAGGCCCTGCCGGGTGCTGCCTCGTGGGCAAGTCACACAGCAAACAGCACACAAATGAATGAAGAAGACAAAGTCTAAGAATAATCACTGAAGACGATAAAACAGGAGCGTGGGGTGAAGAAGGTTGGAGGAGGCAGCTACTGTAAATAGTGTATAATCAGGCAGCTTTCTCCCTCCATGGAGGGACTTTGGAGCTGAGATCTCAGTAAAGGGAAGGAGACAGTTACACAAAGGTTTGGAAAAAGGGCAGTCAAGGTGGTGGGGGCCGGGAGAGCGGGTGCAGAGGCCTGGGGGTGAGATGGAGCTTACTTCTAACATTTTACACCATCAAGAGGCCACTGTGGCTGAAACGCACTGAGCAACCAGCTAAGTGGAGAGCGGCGAGGTCGACAGGCGTGAGACCATTCTGGTGGACCCGGAGTTTTCATCTTAGTGGGATGCAATGGGGGTTAAAGAAGGGTTTTAAATGAGAGAGGGCGCGATCTGGTTTGTGCTTTAAAAAGATTGTTCAGGCAAAGTGGCAGCCTGGAGGCTTTCCGTGTTCCACAGGTAACACGCTTAGAGGAGCACTTTCAGGTACGTCCAGGTACACGGTCACGCGTGACGCACAGCGACCCAATCAGGCACTCGGCGACCCCTTCTATGTCCTCGGCTGCTCGGGGACCGACACCCCGACCTTCCCTTCCGGCCGGGGGCCCCACCTGGAAAAGAGAGGACTCTTCCACCCCAATAATCCCCTGATCCCAGATGTACCTGCGTCCCCTCACTCACCTGGGCCGGGACCCGCGGAGCTGGCGAGAGGCTGGGGCCGGGACGAAGCCTAAAGCTCTGCGGCTCCGGGCCCCTCCCTCCCCGCCCCAGCGGGCCCAACCTTCTCCGGCCGCGCCCGGCGGGAACCGAGCCCATTCACCTGGCCCCGCCCCCGAGGACCCCGCCTCCAACGGTAGACTTCCAGGCTCTGGCCCCGCCCCCGCGCCCCGTCCCACCCCTTCAGAGGCGTTCTTGGCGCTAACCACGCCCCCTTCGGTGAGAACCTCCCTCCCATAAACCACGCCCCCTTGGGAACGCCGTCCACCGCTTCCAGGAGGCCCCGCCGCCTGGGGCGTCGCTCCGCCCCCAGGAGCTGGCCACGCCCACACGCTCTTTTTCCCTCTCTCAGTCCCGCCCCTTAGAGCTCCGCTACTCTCTTCCCCCGCGAGGCTGGTCCCAAGTATCCCTGACCCCTAGGGACGTGGTAAGGGGTGTCTCTCTCCTCGCCTCCCAGGGGCCCGCGGGGGGACAGGCCGGCCCTTTACGGGCTCACTCTAAGCGCGGGGGCGACGGCTGCTGTGACGTAGAGAGAGGTGCGCTTCCTCCAGACCGTCCCCCCTGGGTTTCCCGGAAGGGAACTCCAGTGGGTGTCGGGCTTTGTGGAGACAGATGCGGGAAAACACGACAGCCTCCACCAGTAACAGCACGAGGGGAGAGGAGCTCGACTCTGGGGGCTCACGGTGGGGAGACATTCAGGTGGTTTCCCTGGTGGGAGGAAGGAGGTGGGAGGGGGGCTTCCATCGTGATGCTTGGAGCAAGCACGGAAAGATTTGGAACAAGAGGAAGGACGCTCTAGCCACGTTTATTGAGAGCTCACAATAATAGCAGTTTTGAAAGCACTAGCCGCAACTAACACTTACTGAGCGCTTACTGTATGCCAGGACTCTTCTGCTTGCCTGACCTGCTTCAACGCATTTAATTTTCACATAGACCTGTCAGTGAAGGAGGTACTAATTTTCCTCACCCCCATTTTCCAGATGCAGAAACTGAGGCGCGAGGCAGCCAAGCCATTTGCCCACGTTGACCCGGCTTGCGAGTGGCGGAGGTGGGATTCATACCCCGAGCCCTGGAGCGCCATCCTGTCCTCCTCGCTTTCATCCGTGCAGCCCAGCCCCACCATCTCTGATCCCTACCATAATTCTCAACGGTGAAGGTTACCATCACCCATTTTACAGATGAGGAAATTGAGTCGTAGAGCGCCAAGGACGCTTGGGGATGAAAAGTTTCGGTGCCTGCGGGATCGGAAAGCTGGTGATTTCCAGGCTTGGCTTCCCCCTCAGCGAAATGTGGAAGAGACTCGAGGCTGCGGAGGAGGAGCTGAGGGGAGTGTTTTTTTCCTTGACCCCCCCCCGCCCAGTTTCGGGGCGCAGTTTAGCGGGGGGGGGGGGGGGGGGGGGGGGGTTGTCCAGTGTGGGAGTCTAGCGCCCCCTAGTGGTTGGAAGAATTAAAAAAAGAAAATCTGAGGGGCGTGCCTGTGAGATGGGCGGGAGTCTACTCAGCTTAGTGGGGTGGAGGTGGAGAGAGAGAGACCTTGTAGACGAGATGTTTTCAGGTGGAGATAAGGGCTACGAAGATGGTGTTTGCTAAACGAATAGACTAACGAACAACACCATCGATGTCTACAAGGAAAAAGATGGTGGGGGCCAGGGCCATGGCAGTATATGGATGAGCTTGGGATAAACGTCAGAGGTGGAGCCAAAAAAAAAAAAAAAAAAAAAAAAAGCTTCCGACCATTTATTTATTCATTCAAGAAAGTTTTATAGCGCGTGTATATGCGCCAGGTGCTGGGAACAAATGAGACACATTTCTAAATAGGCAACAAAGAAACAAGTGTATAAAATGTCAGGTTTGTCGGATGGTGGTCAGGGCTTAACACGGGGAAGTGGGAAAGAAGGGCTGTGATTTAAAATGGAGAGATTTGGGAAGATTTCCTAAGAGGGCGACATGGAGTAAAGAACTGCTGGGGCCGGGGAGCTAGCCATGAAGTTGCTTGCCTAAGGCAGGGGGGGAGCAGCATGTGCAAAGGCCCTGTGGCAGGATTTGGAGGCAAAATTCTGCGGTGGCCTCATGTGTTGGAGAAACAGTGAGGAGGCCTGCGTGGCCGGGGCAGGCTGAGTGAGGGAAAGCGGTGAGTGGGAGACATGAGGGCAAGGAGGGGTACAGGGATGTGTCATGTGGGGCCTCGCTGGCTGCAGGGAGGTGGGCTGTAAGAAGGGGGCATCACGACTTGACCCGGGTGCTCACAGGTGTGCTCCTCTGTGGGGCGGATAGACTGTGGGGGGGGGGGGGGGCAAGGTGGGGAGCCTGGGGACCAGGGTGGAGGGGGAATGTGTTGATTCAAGCTAGGATGTTGGGGGGCCAAGCCAGAGTGGAGGCAGAAGAGAGAGGGTTCAGAAGAGAGCAGATTTTGAGTATTTTGCCCCGGGGGGGGGGGTACTGCTCGTGGGTTGGATGTGGCTGAAGGCATCAGGCCTCAGGAGCTCCAGCAGCAGCCCCCCACTCCTAGGTGCGCTGTGTTGAGCGGGAAAAGAGTCCTGTACAGGGGAGGCCCGACTGCTGATGCTCCCGCCCCGCCCCCCCCATGGCTCCGCCTCCTCTACCCCCTCCGGGGCGACAGTTACAGGCAAAGAGGAAGTGGTAGCCGGCTAGCATAGGCAGGCAGGCAGGCGGTGGAGGCCGCGAGGGCGCGGGCCGCCCGGCGAGGCAGCAACCATGGAGCTGTGGCGCCAGTGCACCCACTGGCTGATCCAGTGCCGGGTGCTGCCCCCCAGCCACCGCGTGACCTGGGATGGGGCCCAGGTGTGCGAGCTGGCACAGGCCCTGCGGGATGGCGTCCTTCTGTGCCAGCTGCTCAACAACCTGCTGCCCCACGCCATCAACCTGCGTGAGGTCAACCTGCGCCCCCAGATGTCTCAGGTGAGCCAAGGGCTGGGAGTGGGGGGGTGTACCCTGGGGGGGGGGGCACCGGGAGGGGTAAGGCACTGAAACTCTGGGCTTGTGATGTGGAAGGGAATATACTCCCAGCTCTGGGGCTGGCGTGGAGGGGAGGATGGGGGGCGGCTGGAGGGGGCGGTAAACTCTGAGATTCTGGGGTATTTCACCCAAGGTTAACAGGAGTGGGTTAACAGGCTCTGAGTTAGTGCACGTCCAGGCTGAGAACTAGCAAACTCGGGGTTAACGCTCTCGGGTCCCGGACTGAGTCCACTGAGGTTCAAGCCCCAGGTGGGGCAGTGTGCGGGTTATTGAGGGACACCTGGGAACCCCCAGGTGTCCAATGGGGTGCCTGAGGTTTTGGCCTCTTTTGACATCCCCCCCACTTCTGCCTATGGGGGAGGGGCCTCCACCAACTTCTTCCCCCACATGTGTCTCCTCCTCCCGGGCCTGGGCCCCTTCCTTCCCCTCACATCTTCTTCCCCTTCGCTTCCTGCCTGGGCCTGGGGCGTGTGGGGCGCATGGGGTGGGTGGGGGGCTGTGGGCCCCTGGGCTCTGGTCTTCCTAGCTCTCTCCATCCCTAGGTGGCATTGAGAAAAGCCCCTGGTCCTGAGCCCGAGAGTGGATCCTGGGGTCTTGGAGCCTAGAAACAGCTGCCCTTTCTCTGTAGGGCTTTCTGCAAGGGCCCAGGTCCGGGGAGGGTGGATGGACTGAGCTGGCCCTGCCAGTCTCAGGAAACATATTCAAATCCCTATTTGAATGTGGTGGGGGTGGAGGAGATAACGTGACTGGGGCCACTGTCTGTAGCACCTTCTCTGGGCCGCTGTGGTCTCCTGGGTGCAGGGTGCAGGCCGTGCGTGCTGGGGTCTGGGGGCTCTGGTTGCCTCACCTGCCCTGGGAGTCTGAGGGGACCCTGGCCTCTGGCCCTCAGGCTCCACTCTGGAATGAGAGCTTTGTGCCGGGATCTGTGCATTGTTTCATTGTTCTGGGGCCTTTTCTCTGGTCCGAGAGGCCATGTGCATATTAGGGGACTGGGCCCATGGCGGGCGAGGGGGGGGGGGGTCCCTGGGGGCATTCCCCAGGGACAGGGCCATGGGGTGGGAGAGGTGGGTGGCCCACCCTCCTTAGCCTAGGCAGGGCTTCCTGTAAGGGTGAGGGAACTCCTGAGGCCCAGCCCCTCTGGCCACAGGCCATCCCAGATTTGCCTACATTTGCTTACCTCCCAGCTTCCAGCCAAACGTCGTCCCGTCTGGCCCCAGGCTGGCAGGCAGTCAGGGTCCCCAGTGAGGCTCTAACAACAGCTAATCAGGAAGTGGGTAGACTTGAGCGTGAACTTCCACCCTGCCTGCATCTAGCCTACAGCTGGTTCCCCAAGGAAGGGCACGGGGACGTGGAGTTACTGTCTAGGAGGGAGGCTGTGGGGGGCTGCAGGGCTACAGCTTCTGTCTTTGTGCCGGGCCGTGCGGAGGACCCAGGCGTGGCCTTCCGGGTGCTCCCAGGCTGGGAGACACAGACACCCCTAGCCCTGTGTTGTCAGGACTGGGACAGAGGGAGAAACCTCTGGGCTGGGGGCCCTTGAGGCAAAGGCAAGACATTGCCTGGTGATGTCAGGCTTTATACAAGAGGGGACATTTGTGTGATGTTTTGCAGCATGAGTAGGAGTTCTCTCATTGCTCTGGCTTCCTGTGCCCAGCTGTGTCAGGCCCCAGGCTGCACAAGGGGGTCCCCCAATCCTCCCCATCTGGAGCTCTGTGCCTTCCTGCCCCTCCTCGTCTCGTCTCCCCTCGAAGCTCAACCCCGTGTGCTGTTCCTAGCAGGGATGTGTGCTGGAAGCTAAAAGGTGGCCCCAGTAAGGTGGAGGGAGGTGAGGTGCCACATGAATAGAGCAGGGCCCCGTCTGTCACCTGATATAAACGCTGGGGATGTGGACTGCCTGTGGGATGTGGCAGTGGCATTTGGGATACAGAAGGGCGAAGGGCAGAGGGAGAAATGGGGAGGGGTGGGGATGCCCCTGGGCTGAGCAGCTGGCTGGAGTTTGGATGCTTCTCCAAACTCTTCCAGAGGGCTGGAAGAGGGCATTCGCTCATCACCAGTTATGATGTATGTCAGGCCTCTTCTTGGTGCTGAGACGGTGGGAAGGACACACACACAGAGCCCTGTCGCTGAGGAGCCCGAACTGCAGTGGGCGAGACGGACAATGTCTAACTTGTGGGGAGGGGAGGGACAAAACAAAGCAGCGGGGGGAGCCCGGGAGTGTGCGGGTCACGCTTTTGAATAGGGGGTCCCGGAAGCCTCGCTGGTAAGGTGACATTTGAGCAGAGCCCTGGGCAAAGTGAGGGAATGAGCCTTGTGAATTCAGGGACACAGTGCTCCTGGCAGGGGGTGCGGCCAGTGCAAAGGCCCTGAGGGGAGAGCTTGTGGGTGCCCACAGAGTCTGGTGGGAGTGGTTCATGACTGAGGTCGGACCAGGGGGAGTCTCTGAGCTGGATGGTCCCTCTGAGACCTGAGATCTGAGGCTGGATGGTCCCTCTGAGATCTGATATCCTCACAGACGGCACACTGAGCCGCAGACAGATGAAAGTGTAAGGCCAAGGGACTGGGGAGGGGGAGGGGATGAATGTGACAGTCATTGTGGGAAAGACCCGGCAGGGCGTGGGAGCTGCTTAGATCTGGCAGGGACAGGCGCTGGGCCCTGGATGATGTCAAGGTCCCCAGCCTGTGAATGCCCCGGTCACTGGCAAGGCAGTGGAGAGGGCAGGAGAGTTAGAACAGGGCCTCAGCTCGAGGGAGGTGGCTCTGAGGGGCCAGAGTTCAAATTCTGACGCACCACTTCCTGGCTTCACCTCTCTGGAGCCTCAGTTTCCCCATCTGTGAAACATGGGTACAAACGGCACCTTTATTTGGGAGGACGGTTGTACTATTTCAGCACTGCTTAGCACGGTCTGCGACACCTGAAAATGCCTGATAAACTGTCTGTTTAGGAAGGACGGGGGGTAGCAGGAGGGTGGGTAGCATAATGGCAAGCAGGAATTTGGGTTGGGGTAGTATTTCGCAGCTGGGGTGATTTTGCGCCCCTGGGGCATTTGGCAATGTCTGGACACGTTTTTGGCCCATCCTATCTGGGAGATGCTACTGAAATGTAGTGGGTAGGTATCAGGGATGCTGCTCAGTATCCGACACAGCAGAGAATGATCTCCCCAAACATCAATGGTGCTGAGGTTGAGGGGCGCCTGGGTGGCTCAGTCGGTTGAGCATCCGACTTTTGATTTCGGCTCAGGTCATGATTCCAGGGTTGTGGGATCGAGCCCCGCGTCCACTCAGTGTGGAGCCTGCTTGAGATTCTCTCTCTCTCTCTCTCTCTCTCTCTCTCTCTCAAATTAAAAAACAATTGAAAATAGTACCAAGGTTGAGAAATCCTATGCTAGGGGACAGAGAGCCTGCAAAAGGCTTTAAAATATTTGGTGGGGCGCCTGGGTGGCGCAGTCGGTTAAGCGTCCGACTTCAGCCAGGTCACGATCTCGCGGTCCGTGAGTTCGAGCCCCGCGTCTGGCTCTGCGCTGATGGCTCGGAGCCTGGAGCCTGCTTCCGATTCTGTGTCTCCCTCTCTCTCTGCCCCTCCCCCGTTCATGCTCTGTCTCTCTCTGTCCCAAAAATAAATAAATGTTGAAAAAAAAATTAAAAAAAAAATAAAATAAAATATTTGGTTAAATAATACATTCATATGGTTCAAATATTAAAACACATGAAAAGGTGCACAGGGAAAAGTTTAACTTGTAGTCCTGTCCCTCAGATACCCAGCTCCTTCCTTTCCTCATAAGTTACTTTTTTCTAAGTTGACTGTATATCCTTCCAGAATTTATTGCAAACACAGGCAACTAGAAATGTAGGTTCTTATTTCCTACCCTACTCCCTTAACTTGAAAGATGGTACATACAACTGGTTCCTTTATATCTTGCTCTCCTCGCTTTGATAATCGTCTTGGGAATCTTTCCAAATCAATATAGAGAGAGTGTCCTCATTAGAAAAAAAAAAAAAAATGACTATGATATGCCGGATAATCCATTTGTTAAACAAATTACTTCTGTTGACCTAACTATGTGCCAAGCATTAGTCCAAACCAGGGGCCAGCAAACTACAGTCCAACAGCAGAATCTGGACCACAGCATGTTTTTATAAATAAAGTTTTACTGGCACCCAGCCATCCCCACTGATGCATGTGTATATCGTCTATGGCCGCTTTCCAGCTGCAGCTATGGAGTTGAGCAGTCGCCACAGAGACTCCTCCCTGTGGAGCTGGAAATATTTACTATACAGAACTTTGTAGAAACAGTTTGCAGATCCCTGTTGTAAGCACTTTTTACATTTGTTTAGTTCTCACAACACCCTGTTAGGTGTAATTATCCTTATTTTTCACATGAGTGATGGAGGCACAGAGATGTTGAGTAACCTGCTGCAGGGCACCCAGCTTGGAAGCGGCAGACTTGGGGACTGGAACCGTGGGCAGCCCGGTCCTGGGGTTCTTGCTGTCCGCAGTCACCCTAAAATGCCTCTGTCCCACTGCTCAGCTGGGTGATCATTTATTTTATCATCCTTTCTCTCAGCGGACACTTGGGTGGTACCAGGCTTTTGTTATGATACATTTACTGCAGCCATTAACCTTGTCCACGAATCACTTTTTGCTGACTCCACCCTGTGACCTTGGGCATGTTACCTGTCTGTGCCTCAGTTTCCTCATCTGTAAAATGGGGATAATAAATCCCTATCTTTAAGCATCGTTGTGACAGGTAATGGATTACTCTAAAGAATGTAGAAAAGTCCCTGGCTACATAGAAATCTTACTATTGCTGCCATACACGTGAGCAAGTGTATTCATGGCATACGTTCTCAGAAGGACTTGCTGGCCCAAAGTGTGTGAGCCTTAGTGTTTCTGGCAGATGTGGCCAAGTTGTTCTCCATATGGGATTGTTCCCCGGTGGACTGTTCTAATTACATTACCACTAGCAAAGCGTAAGAGTGCTTACTGTCCTTGGAGCTCTGCCACCTTAATGGGTGATAAAGCTCACTATAGATCAATTTACATTTCTCTTATTCTGAGTGAGGTTGAACCTCTTCCTTTGTCTAAGAGCTATTTCTATTTTTTTCTCGGCAAAGTAATATCTGTTCATTTCATTTGCCCATTTTTTTTCCCCCCTTTCTGGGACCGTTTGCCTTTTTTTCTTATTGATTTTTAGAAACTCTTTACATATTAGGCTGGCTTGAATTTCAAGTCAGGTACTTACTACCTTTGTGATCTTGAAGGGAAAAAAAAAATGTTTCTTACTCTGTCTGAGCCCTGGTTGTCTTATCTATAAAGTGGGATGTGAATAGCACCTTTAAGGCTTGGGTGAGCCTTAAATGTGATAGGTTAAGTTAAATTCCTTTTTAATGTGATTGATGTGCTGAATTTAGCAAATGCTAAAATGGTGGAGGCACTCTTTTGGTTAATTTGATTTCAGTCAGTCTGAGTTGGCTGTACGATGTGGCGTAAGTCAGCGTGTGTGATGTTAGCTGCTGTAACAAACTGTTCACTTCGCTGGCAATAAGAGTTTACTTCTTGCTCACATCACAATCCAGTTTGGGTCAACTGGGAGCTTAAGAGGGTGGCTCTTCTTTACAAAGTCCCTGTAGCACCTGGGCTCTCCCCATCCCATGGCCCTTCTCTCCCTAAAGCCCTTGGAGCCGTCTCTATCCCAGAAGGTAGGGGAGAGGAGTGTGAGGAGGGAACCCATGAGAGGCTGTCATGGGCCAGGCCCAGATGTGGTGCTGTCGTCCCCATTCTTGTTCCATTGGCCAGGACTCCATCACATGGCCCCCTCCAACTGCAAGAGAGGCTGGAAATGGTCTGGCTGGGAGCCAGGGAGGATAGGAAATGGGTTGGGCGGACATAGAAAAGTCAATGTCGTAGAACCCCGGAGTGATGCCTCGCTGCCTTCAGAGAGGCAGGTCTGGAGGGGTTGGCTTGGAGGAGTCCATGGTGGGAAAAGGAATAAGGAGGGCTTGAACCAAAGCCACAGGGGAGGGATCCAGCTAGGGATGGAGAAGCCTGGGTGGGAGAAAATTGCAGCAAAGTAGGTGGGGCTGGGTTGACCAGAAGATCTTCTCTGAAGATACCTACTACGGCTGATGGGGCTGGAAGTCTGGGAGCGTCAACACTTGGTATTGTGCCTGCTCTTCTAACGTTTTATTCTGTGTACTGACCTCCTTCTGGGTCTAGTACTGGGAAATGTCACCCTTCTGGACTTTG